CACAAGTGAGCTAAAATTTAAGATCTTTTGCAGAAATTGTAGAAATAACAGAAAAAAAAATAAGGCAATGTTTGCTATAGATACACTGGGAAGTAATAAGGAAAAACAAAGATCTATGAGAAAAAGAGCTCAAAATCAATTTTTACAGATACATCCCAGTAACTATCAATATAACAATATTTGTAAACAAAACAAATCTGAATGCATTCCCACTGGGCAAGAATAACGTTTTCTGTAACAAAGGAATAAGGTGCAGAGTAAATTATACATACTCAATCAATATGCAGGTAGTCCCTGACTTATAACATATTTGAGTTATGACAAACTGCATTTACGACTGTCAGTTTTTGTGGAGTTTTCTGTACATCTTACCATTAGTAATATGTATTATATGTAATGTTGCAGCACGTAATTTCTCAGATGTAATGCTGTCAACTCTCAAAGACAAATACAGATCAGATTTACAGACAATGATAATAAAAGGCAATAATAATGAAAAGAAAAAAGCGAGAGATTCAACTTATGTCAGAAACCATTTATGACAGAGTAGTCATTGGAACAGAACACTATCATAAGTCAGGGACTACCGATACAATCAATCCTTTCATATTTTTCTTCATTAAAGTCAGTAATACACAGAAGAAAACAAAAGTTCGCAAATTTAAAATTCACTTCAATCCCTATATCTACATTTCTAGCTGGCTTTGAACATGTCATAACCAAAAAGAAAAGAGGAGAGGAATGAAGCGTTAAAGCATTTAAAAATTAAATTTTTGAATGTAACAGTTTGGAAAAAAAAAATTACATTTAAATTACATTTAAAGGGAGGTTAAAAAACAAAAGTCTATTTGAGCTATAGAGACATATTTGGAATTTTCTTTTTAAATCAAAAATGGTGCTATACTAAATTATCTCTAGGGTCCTCTGCAACACTAAGCTTCTCATAATTCTATGAATTTCAAATGCAGGCTTACTGAGAAGACCTTTTATTCCTTACAGATAATCTTACAGCACCATCTTCTGGTATAAAATTACTGTGCATAGTCTAACAATGAGAAAATGCAGAAATTTCACATTATTACAACCGGTTTATTTAGTAAATTTTATGTAAATGAAATTAAAAAAAATTCAAGGTATAACAAATTAGCTAACTAAAAATACATGTTCACTGGTAAGCAAAAGCAGAACCTCTTTTCAGCACTGGTCTCATCATTCATACATCCAGTTGTGGGAAACATAACTGAACTAAAATCAAGATTTTGAACAGTTCAGAAAATAGAAAGGCTCAAGAAACTTGATTTACTAGATCCACAGAAGATCACTAGATACGAACTGTCAGACTTCTAAGACTGAAATGTCAACACAGAGTGGTGATGGATGCAGCCTGACTACTGCCTATGCCAAAGATAAAACAGAACAACTCTAAATGAGGCAAAGATTTCAGTCAGACTTTTAGAAAGGAGTAATAAATAATAGTGTAAATTCTGTTCCACCAGAAGTCATAAGAAAAATAACTGACAAATATATACACGTACATACATATATCCTCATATCATAAAAAATATTCCTTAATATTTAATTTAGTCCTAACTAGATATAAAGAGATAAACAGCAAGTCTACATCCCTATAGAGAAAGCCAATGGTGGGTGTTCCAGAAGTTAGTTATTAAAACTGATTACTAGGAGTTCCAGCAAGATGGCAGACTAGGCAGAAAGACTGCGCAGACCCTCTTCAACAAAGAAAAGGGAAACCAATTTACACAGACACAGAAGATAATCTTGGACCCCTGGGCCTTGAAGGGAAGGATATAGAAGTGGACTAAACAACTAGCAAAAAAAAATTTGCATGAAAATACCAAAAAATGAGACATATGGAGCTGC